GGGGGCGGCAGCGGGGGGATGGGGGCGATGTTTGAGGCCGGGCGCTGCTGCTGAACTTGAGGAAAGGCCCAGCGCAGGGTTCCCAGTCGTCATTCCTGGCGCACATCGCTCAGACGTTCTTTTCGGGCGATTGTGGGGTCGTTGTGGACCCATCAGCTAAAGGTCGTGGCGCCCTGAACGGCCGCGGACCCCTCGCCTTAGGTGCTCTGCTTTCCAGGGCTGAAGAAGATGCAGAGCAGCCTGAAGCTGGTGGACTGCATCGTCGAGGTCCATGATGCCCGGATATCCTTTGCTGGTTGCGATACCGGAACTTACATTAAGAAATACATATTTAGGCTTTGTCCCCACTCTTGGCTGGAGCTCCAAAAGCTCTTGGAATGTCCTAAGGGATGAGAGAGGAAGGCCTCCGTTAAGTTAATGAGGCGACTTTTGGAAAGCCCCTCAGGACGGGTTGGTTCCTGGGAACCCACTTTCACTGCTAACCCCTGACCCCTCGGAGGGGAGAGGAGCTGGAGGTGGACTTGATCTGCAGTGGCCAATGCTCCCACCCGTCTTGCCTGAGCAGTGACGCTGCCATAAAATCCAGAGGATGAGGTTCGGAGAGCTTCCGGGTTGGTGAGCACATGGAGATTTGGAGAGAGTGGTGCTCCCAGAGAAGACGTGGGGGTCCCCGTGGGGGGAACCCTGTCTCCTCAGTGGGCGCCGGAGGAGGCAGCGATGGTTTGGGACACACTGGTTAGGACCTCACTTTTCTGAGTGATCAGATACGCATTTTGAATGTTCGTACCTTGACAACCTAGCAGTGGTCTAGTTTTAAGACCTCCCACTGAGCTTGTTTTTGTCGCCATCATTCCCACTTGAGAAGCCACATCGTGAGAGCCACTGCCGGCCTGCCGCCTCTTCTCTGTGGGAAGTAGTGTCTGTGGCTCTGTGGCTGGGAGGGGAGGGCAGCACGCGGCTGGCCTCACAGCTCCGGGAAGAAGAGGCTGGGTGTGCGCTGGGTGTCAGTTCCTTCTAAAGATTTCCTTCTGAGGTGGGGCCGTCTGGGCAACAAGACAATCAATTAATCGGCTGGTAAAAGCTCTGAAGGAATTTTTGCCTTAATTTTGCCACATCCCGCTTTCGGGCCGCAACCCTCTGTTTCAGGAAACCCTCGGGATTAAGCCTCACTTGTTCGTCCTCAACAAAATGGACTTGGCGGATCTGAAGGAGAAGCAGGTAAGGCCCTCTGCTGCCTGGGCACTGGCTCGTTGGGCCCTGATGACAGTCACCGCTGAGACAGCCTCGAGTTTGCTGGCCAGGCAGGCTTACCTTGGCACTCCGCCTTCGTCTGCAGGCTTCCTCTAACGTTTAATTTATGGCCGAACCATTCGTGTGTGTCTCCCGGGGATGTGGCCGGGATGTGCTACCGGAGCCCAGTGCCCACAGGTGACTCTGAGCACTTGAAATGCGGCTCTTGTGGCTGCAGAATTGACTTTCACATGATTTCATTTTAATTAGTTTAAATTTCATTGGCCATATGAGGCTGTTGGCCACAGGCCTGGACAGCACTGGCCGGGTGGCCTCCTATGATGGCTGCTTTCCCCCAGGTGTCCACAGTCACCAATTCCAGGGCCATCCAGACCCCCCGTGGCCTGCAGATCGCCTGCCACCGCTGTGTGATCTGAAGGTGGGGAAGGCCCAGAGTAGAGAATGGATTCTCCAAAGCCAGGCAGAACCCGGGGACACAAGTGATCAATTGGAGGACATTTCCCTTGGGTCCCAGAGGTAGAGAAACATGGTGATTCTGGAATGCCCTTCCCTTTCCTTGCTCTGTTGTCAAATCCTTTGCAGAGTATGTGTTAGAGTCTTTTGAGTTCCATTTGTTTTCAAGTCGTTAATGGTGCAGAGATTTTCCTTTCACTGCAGCCTCAGGAATGCATTCCAGGTTTCTTGGTACGTTGGAGCTATTTAAACCCCAACCCCAGCCTCCATAGTTTTCCAGGGAACCTTCACATGCTGAACCACACGTCCCACCCTGACTCCCACCCACTGCACAACCCAGGAGCCCACCTCTGATCAGTTCAGTCCGTCCTGTTGTGCGAGGCTCATAGCCTCACGGCTTTCCGTGGCTTTATCAGTGAAGCGTCAGTCTTTTCAGCGAATGCTTCTGCCCCTCGATGCTGATTTTGCTGTGCTGGCCGCACTGAGGTGACCTAACAGGACACAGCGGCGGTTCACCTCGTTGGGAGGCAACAGGCGTGTTTGCTCTCAGGTCCTGCTTCCCCGAGGTCTTGGAGGGGGCGGTGAGGGGGGAGAGGCTCCCAGTGGTGGTCCTCAGTGCAGTGGGTGGGAACATCGTGTGAATTTATACATTTCAGAGTGGCTTCACGTATGTCTGTTTTGGCTGTTTCTTAATCTGCATCATTATACGAGTAACTGAAATGCATAACTAAAATTAACCGAATTAGTGACTTTTTTGTTCATCTAAATATCAGTCATGTTTAGGTCAATAGCTGACCAAACAGTACCATGTTGGTTTTAACAAGTGTGATTTATATGCTGATTTCACTTAATGTTAAGACCAGTGAACTCATATTAGCCTGAGTTTACTTTTGGGCTTTTAAAGTATTCCATATACTTTGTAACCAGATTGGGTTCAAACCTTAAAGTGGAGTTCACTTTGTGAAAGCTTGTTAGAATACACAGGAGTGACGAAAATACTAAGGGACAATGAAACTGTATTATTTCAGTGCCGGATGTGGCTTCGGAATAACCTAGGTCAGCCTCATTTTATAAGAAGGTCCTGGGGTCCCAAGAAGGCAGGATGCTCACCTCCGGTGGAGCCTAGAGCCCTCGGACTGAGACAGGCTCTTCCCTCCTGTCCTGACACGGAGCCAGCTGGTCTGGGCCATGGTGGGGCCAGGCTGTCCTCTCAAGTCCCCTCACACAGTCCGTACTGCCCTCAATCCTCCCTATGTCCCCAGACCCTGTGGCTCTGAGCCTGGGCGCATGCCTGGGCAACCTCAGATCCTCAGACCTTAGGGTGTTATGCCACCCCTATTTTTACTTAGTATTTAAAATAGAAATATCTCTTTCAGAAAATTATACGACACTTGGAAAGAGAAGGCCTAAAAAATGTCATTTTTACCAACTGTATCAAGGATGAAAACATCAAGCAGGTGGGCTTTTCTGTTTACACTCAAATGCTTCTGCTGAAGGACCGTGAGAAAACACTGCAAAATGTTCTATGCTTTCACAGGAGGAGAGTTTTGGAGACAGTCCACAGATTGGCTGGGGTCCGGGGCACACTTGTCTCCTGGTGCCCAGAGCAGATGGGCCTGGACAGTCCGATGGTCTGAAAGGGCAGAGTCAGGCTACAAAATATGCTCCTGGTTATAAGTAGGAAGGGCCTTTGGGAAGTCTAGCACCTTATTCGTGCCAGTTGTGTTTGGAGAATTTCACTGGCTGGTGTACATCTTTGTTACAAGGAGTTGTCACCCTCCTGGGATGGGACAGGACAGGGCACAGGTAGTCCCCCGCATAGGGCAGTCAAATCCGTGACGTGGATAGAGCCTGAGTGTGCCACCTCCAGAAACCAAGGGAGAAGCCGGTTTCCCTGTGATGGTGCCTGTGTGGTTGTTGCAGGTCATCCCGAAGGTCACGGAATTGATTGGAAACAGCTACCGCTACCACCGAGGAGAGGTTGGTTGAAGGGCCAGTGCTGGCCCTGGGACAGTCCCTTCTGCTGAGGAGCCCGAGGCTCGCCTGCTAAACACAGTGGGCCAGACTGAGCCCTTGGCATAAACATGAGCCTCTCGCCTCACTGCTCCCCTGCAGGAAGGGTCGGGGGCTGTCAGGGTGGGCAGGCCTCAGCAGTGACCTTCCTTCCCCCTTAGCTGGCCTAGGCTGCTGGGTCCCGTGGTGTGGGCTGTTGGGGTTCCCAGTGGGGGTCTGGGTGTGTCCCTGATAGCCACTGTTCTGCTCTGCAGAATGTGGAGTTCTGCATCATGGTGATTGGCGTCCCCAACGTGGGCAAGTCCTCACTCATCAACTCGCTCAGGAGACAGCACCTCAGGAAAGGTACTGCCAGCCACATCGGCTGAGGTTGCGACGGCCTCATCACTCCTTCAGAGCAGCTGCTCTTGTCCTGAGATGAAACTCAGCCCATAAGTCCTTGGGCACAGTCCTCAGCTTGTCTCTTTCCGCCAAAAGGACCCATTTAACAGCCTGCTGTGTGGTTACACGGTGAGAGAGTCCTCCCGTGACATTTCACACTTAATTTGTTCTCTCTGCTTGATACATGGATGACTATTCTAAACTTTGATGATTTTGCCTTTTTATTTAAGTTTTTTTAAAAAATATATATCTTTATTGATTTCCAAGAGGAAGGGAGAGGGAAAGAGAGATAGAAACATCAATGAAGAGAGAGAGGATCATTTTTTGAAAGAGAGATAGAAACATCAATGATGAGAGAGAATTATTGATAGGCTGCTTCCTGCACGTCCCACACTGGGGATTAAGCCCACAACCCAGGCATGTGCCCTTGACCAGAATCGAACCTGGGACCCTTCAGTCCGCAGGCTGACGCTCTATCCACTGAGCTAAACCAATCAGGGCTTCATTTACGTTTTTGATCCATTGTGCCCAACGCGTTACACAGCCCATGGGGTCTGATGTCAGGCAGGGGTGTCGGGAGCCTGCTTGAGGATCACATCTGGGAGCCCCTGGCTATCTCCCTGCTTCATGCATGTTCTCTGATTTCGAGGCACACAGGAGGGTCCACACTCTAACTGTGCCTGCCCCTTTTTCCTTAAGTATTTGGAAGATTAAAACGGTGTCTGCCTTGGCATCATCCCGTCAGTGTCAGCATGTGGTCTTTATTAGCGCTGTTTCCAGTGCACAGCCCGAAGGCTGTAAACTGCACTGCACTGTGATTGACAGGCGCTGCTTCGGGTACTCTTTGGAGGGTGATCATAGTCATCTGTTTTTTAAAGTTCCTTTTTCTTTAATTGTGGCTTAAAAAATTGGTGGCATTGCCCTAGCCAGTTTGGCTCAGTGGATAGAGCGTCGGCCTGTGAACTGAAAGGTCCCAGGTTCGATTCTGGTCAAGGGCATGTACCTTAGTTGCGGACACATACCCAGTGGGGAGTGTGCAGGAGGCAGCTGATCGATGTTTCTCTCTCATCGATGTTTCTAACTCTATCCCTCTCTCTTCCTCTCTGTAAAAAATCAATAAAATATATTTTAAAAAAATTGGTGGTATTAAGTTGTATAACTCAACACCCCACTCTCTCCCAGCCCTGGGAACCTGGAATCTCCTTCCTGTCTCTGGGTCTGTGAATGTAGCACCTGTGACTGATGTCACTGAGCATAATGGCCTCCAGGTCCATCCAGGTTGTGGCAGGTGCCAGACCTCATATTTTTTAAGGCGGAATAATACTGCGTTGTGTGGATGGACCACATTTGCTAACCATCCACCAGTGGACACACACGTCCCTTTACTCTCCAGTTGATTTGGCAGAGAGTGCAGAGTCTGCCTGGGACACACCCTGAACTGGGCCCCAAAGCACAGGCTGGCCCTGGGTCGGGTCAGCCTCACAGATGGCCTACCCTGGGCAGTGCTGGGGGCAGTGCTGGGGGCAGATTAGGCGGGTGCAGGGTCAAGTTTGGGAGGGGGGAGATATCCGCTGAAAGGAGCAGCTGTGGTCTGACCTTCACAGTCAGGTCCTTGCCCCTTTCCCTCTACAGGTCTTGGAGCTCCTGTGCAGGCAATGGGGAGGCATTGCTGGAACTTGGTTGAAAAGGTCATTGCCATGAACTGGTTTGGGGCAGAACCCTGAACTCAAGTTCATTTGGGCCTTTGCAGGTTTCCATGTGCTTCATTGCTTGTTCTGTGCCTGATACGCCAGGTGTGTTTAATGTATATTGACAGCGCTGTTTCTCCTGCAGGAAAAGCCACCAGGGTGGGCAGTGAGCCTGGGATCACTAGAGCTGTGATGTCCAAAATTCAGGTAGGGGCCTCGGCTTCTGGGCCCAGAGCTCCACACACACAGATGCCTGTCATCCCCTGAGGGCTTGCATGGTGGTGTGCTCCTCTCTGTCCTTTCCCTCAATCTCCATTCCCACGAGTGCTCGCCACGGGCCAGGCACTGCACCCACCTCACACCGGACCTATGGGGAGGGCACACTTGTCCCTGTTTACAGATAAGCAAACTGAGGCACAGAGGCATTGCATCACATGCCCAAGGTCAGAAAGTAGTCATGGCAGAGCCGAGTTGCATTATCTCTGTGCACATTCCCTTCCTCCTGGGAGGAAAAGATGGGGCTGTGGGGCTCTTGCTGTTATCTCCAAATTAAATGGGAGTGGATTCCTGTGGGGAAGCCAAGAGCTTGTGAAAACAACCCCATCAGGGTAGGTTCATTCGGGAGTCTCCTGCTTGAGGGGTTATCCAACAGAAGGCCTGGTGGGAGGGCTGCTTGACACTTCCTGAGTGGTGAGCCAACTGCCCTCTCTGCCCACAGGTGAGTGAGCGGCCGCTGATGTTCCTGCTGGACACTCCTGGAGTGCTGGCTCCTCGGATTGAGAGCGTGGAGACGGGCCTAAAGCTGGCCCTATGTGGTGAGCCACCCTCAGGGTCCCACCTGTGGCCCAGTGTAGCCCCAGCCCGGGGGTTGTGCCACACTAACCCGCTGGCCGCACTGTCCCTTGTACAGCCGGGCAGAATGGTCAGGTCTGGGCATGGCCTTCTCCTTGCAGCCTCTGGCTGAGACCGAGAGCGTGCACTCACCCTCACTGCCTGTTCCCAGGAACCGTGTTGGACCACCTGGTTGGGGAGGAGACTCTGGCCGACTACCTTCTCTACACCCTCAACAGGCACCAGCTCTTTGGGTGAGTGCCGGGTGCAGGGCAGACCAGCCCATCCTCTCTCCTACGCTAGCATTGTTTCCAAAGTGGCACAGTTAGGGTATTGCAGACAAACAACAGTTTGTGCATCATTTGAAGCAGCGGTCGCCAACTGGTGGTCCACGGGCCACTGGTGGTCCGTGAGGTCCGAAAGGTTGGTGACTGCTGAGTTAGCCCTTTGAGTGCCAACCAATATCCTAGGAACTATGCTGAAATTGCCAAGGCATTTTTGCTGATTTTACAGCAGTTTAGGAAAAAAATTATGAATTGCAAGTACCTGTAAAAAATTAGGCAGGTAAATGCCAGTGGTCAATTTTAGAACTACAAACATTCGGCATCATAAGTATTATCTGCACTTAGGTGCCATCTGTTAATAAAGAGTGAATACTAGCATCTATAGTGACACTGCAGGAGGAGCACGATAGCGCTCCCTGCACTTCTGGCGAAAGACAGGAGGAGCGCAATCGCACTCCCCGGCACTCTAGGGGTTAGAGCAGGGGTGGGCAAACTTTTTGACTCGAGGGCCACAATGGGTTCTTAAACTGGACCGGAGGGCCGGAACAAAAGCATGGATGGAGTGCCTGTGTGAACTAATATAAATTCAAAGTAAACATCATTACATAAAAGGGTACGGTCTTTTTTTTTTTTTTTTAGTTTTATTCATTTCAAATGGGCAGTGTATATAGTGCGATGCGTTTGATACACAGACACAGCTGTGAAGCTGCTTTGTAATTCCTCCCCATACCTTGTCACCTCCACTGACACCTGTCACCCACACTCACGAAGGTCCCTGTGGAGCCAGATGTGACCTCACAGGCCGCCCTGGTTCCTGCTGGCTGACGGTTGCTCTGTTTAGGTACGTGCAGCACTATGGCCTGGGCGAGGCCTGCGATGACGTGGCAAGTGTGCTGAAGCGTGTGGCCATAAAGCTGGGGAAGACGCAGAAGGTGAAGGTGCTCACGGGCACAGGTGAGACTCGGGGCTTAGCGGGCCTGTCCTTGGAGCAGGCCTGGCCGTCCAGGGAGGACACTGGGGGACATGAAGCTGTTGTGGGAGCGAAGGTTCTTGTCCAGCCTCCCTGCTGGGTGCACTCCGTGTTCACCCTTTCCTCTGCAGCCTCAGGAGGCTCGCTCTGTTTTAGTTATTTATTTATTTATTTTTAAATATATTTTATTGATTTTTTTACAGAGAGGAAGGGAGAGGGAGAGAGAGAGAAGCATCAATGATGAGAGAGAACCATTGATTGGCTGCCTCCTGCACACCACACAGTGGGGATTGAGCCCGCAACCTGGGCATGTGCCCTGACCAGGAATTGAACCGTGACCTCCTGGGTCAAAGGTTGACTCAGCTCAACCACTGAGTGACACCAGCCGGGCTCGCTGTTTTCTTTTTGAGTGGGTCCTGGTGCCTGAGCTCCACAGATACCCAACTTAGGGTCCCTGTTCCTGAGGGCAGGCTGGGTGGGATCCTGCATGAGAGCCCCTTCCTCACCAGACCCTCTTGCCTTCCCCAGGCAACGTGAACGTCATCCAGCCCAACTACTCTGCAGCAGCCCGTGACTTCCTCCGGGCCTTCCGCAGTGGGCTGCTGGGCCCCGTGATGCTGGACCGGGACGTCCTGCAGAGCTTCCCCCCCACAGACCCCAGCCAGGCTCCAGGCCCCCGCGACATGTAGTGTCCCAGACCTTCATGCCTGGGTTTTGACACTCAGGGCTTCCTCTTCCGAAAGCTCTATGCCAGTCACTACACTAAGGTCTCTGCTCCAGGAAGGGGCTGTGCCCTCCTGCTGCTCCACAGCCAGGCCAGCTCCTGGTTCCAGGGGACAGTGCCTGGGGTGTGGACGTCAGGCACCAACGTCCCTGGGCAGTCCTGCGTGCCTGGCCTGGCGAGGACATTCGTTCCTGCTCACTTCTCGTATGGAGAAGCAGACATTGTCCCGGAAGGAGTGAAGCTATAATCTAATTTAAGTGTTTTAAACTAAAAGCCTCATCTCTGTTGTTGGCCCAGTCACCCTCAGCACCTTGGGCGCTTGTGTCAGGGCCCCTGTCACAGGGGGAAGTGGGAGGCGAGCTGGTTAGCAGCTGAAGGATGTGGAGCCACCTGATGCAGTGTCCTGGGTCCTGCAATGAGGAGGCGTTGTTGCCAGGACAGTGTTTATTTCATGACGCTACTGCAATGTACACACAGATGTGGACGGGAGGGTCCAGTACTCGTGGCAGAACCCAAGGACTGGCCTGTCCCCTCGGTAACGGGTACTGGCTGGGAGGGTCTCTGGTATGGTCAGCGGGGACCTAGGGCTCCCACTGCTTCTGAGCACCTTCTAGCTGATGGACAATGGCACTTCCCAGGTGCCTCCCAGCATTTGTCATTGCACCTGAAGGGGTCCACGGGGCAGGAAAAGAACAGAGGAAGGATGGGTGGGGTGGGGGGAGCAGATTCCCTGGTCAGTAGCCCTGGCTGCTCTGTCGGGGTGGCCTGACCTTCCTGTAGGTCTCACTACCCATGTGGGTTCCCTTCTAGTTCCCACTATTTATGTGGGTTCCCCCCAGGTCCCACTACCCACGTGGGTTTCCCACACTCCACAAACCCTGGCTAACCCCGAGATGGTCCACCCTGAGCACCCTCTGCCTCCTGTGGGAACCCTGAGGGATTCCAAGATTCGGGGCCGCATCAAACACCAGATGTGCTCCCAGGGTTGGGATGAAATGCGCTCTTGACTGGAGTGTGGCATCTCGATTCCAGAGCGAGCTGATGGCTCAGTCCTGGGGGTGGGGTGAGTGGCTGAGCGCAGCCACACTGGGCCCACATGTCGGGCCCTTGGGGAGAAAGCTCGGCCCTGTGCAAGATGACTTTCCTGCTCCCTGCGGATAAAGTAGGACAGTCACACTGCCTCTGAGGCCCTGGGCAGGGCTTGGCCACGGCTCACTGGTCTTTGGTAGCATCGAGCTTGGTCTGGAATGGAAGGAGGAGCGTCTGGGCTCGCTGCGCCCCAAGAATACTGGCAGTGTGGACACAGGAGGCTGCCGAGGCTTCCTCCTGCAGCTTCGTGTTTTGGAGAAAAACACTTGGTCCCAGTCCTGCGGAAAGCCTAGAGGCCCCTGGCCCCTGACCAGAGCCAGCTGTGGGAGAGCAGAGGTGACAGGCTCCCTGCGTGCTGTCTGTCACTGAGTCCAAAGGCCCTGAGGTCCAGGGGACGAGGGCGCATTCTGGGAGGCTCTTACTGAGCATTGGGAGGGCGAGGTCCCCAGGAGCCAGCCTGGGAGCTGCCCTGCCCGGCTGCGGTGGTGGTAGAGCTGGAGTACACGTTGAAGAGGTGCTCGCCCAGGGCTGAGTTCACAGATGCCCCAGAGGCTGAGGGCTGGCCTTATACGTAGGGGTGTTGGGTGCCGTAGGCAAACCCTGTGTTCCCTTAGAAGCTTCTCGACATCGGTCCTGTGGCCCTACCCTCAGAATGTCTGTAGTGTTTAGACACCCCGAGAATTAGAGGAGCTCTGCCTCCTGGGTGCTTCCTTCCACTGAGGGAGGCTCTCATGCCTTGCTGGTCCTGGGGCCCAGCCACCTCCGCCTTCCTCCAGGTACTGCCCATGGTCATGTGACTAGAGCTCCCAGCCTCCTCCATTTGCACCACAGCCTCACCTTCGAGGGGGTGCTGCCCGCTGAGGGTTGCACTGCCTACTTGCTACCTGTCTGCCTAGAACACAGCGAACCAGGCCGGGGAGGGCTCGTCAGTGGGAGTGGCAGTTGCAGTCCCTGAGCGCAGGCCAGGGCTCTGGGTCCGGGATTTGAACCTGAAGTTCAAAGGGAATGGAAAGATCTTGATGTTTAAACAAAATGTTGCTTTTTCCAAAGTAGGTCCCAAGAAGAGTCAAGTGACTTGTTTCAAGTCAGAGCAGAGTGGCTCCAAGGGAGTCCCTGGCAGCGGGTCCCAGAGCATCTGCACAGAGCGCCGGGGGGCAAGGCAGCCCGTGGGCAGGGTGTCCTCCTGGGAACTGTCCACAGAACCACGAGTGGGCAAGCCTGGCTCTGAGACCCACGGAGGGTCAGCACCTGACATTCTCCAGGCTTCAGTCTGTGAGCGGGAACCTCTTCCCTTCTCCAAATCAATTCCTTTGGTCCATTGTGACAGCTTCTGTGGGGGAGGCCACCACAGTCCTCTGTGCACCTCTCTGCCTGGTGGTCAGCACTGTCCACACCCCCCGAGTGTCCAGGGCGGGTTCCAAGGAGACGGAGTGGCCGGAACAGCCTGGCCTTGGCACCTGTCTTTGAGGCAGCTCTGGAGAGATGGCAGGCAGCTGGCCCACACGGTACAGGAGCCACGGGACACCTGCCTTTCTGGGGGAACCCCCTGACCTGTAAATGGCGGGTGAGGCATCCTGGAGCTGATGGTGGGGAGGCTCTGGAGGGGCTTGGGCAGGATGGTGAACAGGAGGTGGCACCTGGGTCACAGGGAAGAGAGGATGCAGCTCCTGCTGGGACTGGCAGGCGTTACCCACGGAGCCTTTCTGG